ACATTTCCATAGAAACTGATTATGAGGGCAGTGACATTTTCCAAATAAAAACTGTATCCTGGCAGTGAAGCTCGTCTTAATTCCTGACCCATGACAATTCTGTTCTTCCTTCTTGTTAATTCAGGTTGATTAATATGTCTTGTAATTATACAGGGTGTGTCCCTTACATCTGGGCACATAGAAAATCTAACTATATTTATTTACCTCCACAGATTAAACATGGTTTTGTCAAAAGAAAAAAGAAGTGACTATTTTTTCTGGGGTCTGCTAAAGGAGAAGGTGTACTCAATGAAAATCGCAGATGCAACACACTTGATTGAATGCATAAAGAGTAAATGTGCTAAAATTGGCGGCAATGTGGAGTTATTGCATCGAGTTCACGTGAATCTTGCAAAGCGCATCAATCTTTGCATCACAAATGATGGAAATCATATTGAAGATGGTATTTGTTAATATTCCAATTCAATAAAATATTATTGAAAATTTAATTTCTTGAAAAAATATGCATTTTTGGCTATGTGTCCAGATTTACGAGACAACATGTATTTTAGTTTTAAAAAAAGCAATATTTTGTACTCAAGTTTGTTTGCTTTTTCTACTGCTGAAAAAATTCTTTTCTTTATACAGAAGCTGAATAAATCTATCTTGAGAATAGTATGGATACGATAATAGGTAAAAAAAAAAATGAAACGTTTAAATTTCATCTCAGTGTCTCAGGTTCAAATTCTGTTAAATAAAATAATGTTTCACTTTTTTGTTCGACTGCATATTTAAACGCTAGCCATTTATCTTTTTGAAATGGTAGTTTTTTTGCTTTTTTTCCCATTTTTTTTTGTTCAGACAATGCGCAATATTTAAGTGTTGTCTAAGTTGAAATTGTAGGCAGACTTTTTGCGATGAATGCATTAATGTTATTTTATAAAAGATCCCTTTTATGTTCATATATTCATAAAAGAAGCGAGATCGAGTAATTTTATTTGAGAATCTAAATTCAAACAGAAATAAGTCCGACAGTAAGTAAACATTTACTAATAATCCGTATCCGAGTATATATATATATATATATATATATATATATATATATATATATATATATATAAGTATATAATTGGTATATACGGAATGAATTCCAATAACCAACAATATTGGTTAGTATAAATTCTTTTTAATATTACCCGTATTTTAAAGATCTGAATAGCTATTATAACATGATATTGTTGTCAAGCTTTTGAATCTTCCTATACTTGCATTTTTATTGGTTATTCTAGCTTTTGTAACAATGGTTCCCCCAAGTGAAAGATCGTTAATTAATTTGAAACTTTTAAAACCATTTATTTTATCTTCAACATCATCACTTGATAAGACACGGAGGGTGTTGAAACAAAATGGCTATTTTGTAGTGATTTTATAACATATTTATGTTATAATTTTTTCTATAAATAATAATTATATATATATATATATATATATATATATATATATATATATATATATATATATATATATATGGAACGATACGTGCCGTGGCTTCCCTCTGTCTCTTCTATACGTATTTTCACGGCAAATGTTCCGATGATTTGCTTTCGCTGGTTCCTACACTGCATGAATTTAAACGTGCTACTTGGTTGGCATTTCGGTCCCACCCGTTCACTGTCAAAACGGTTAAATGTAACCGTCTTTTCTACTCAAACAGCTTCTTCTCTCGCACTTCCCGTCTGTGAAATTCACTTCCTCTTACTTGCTTCCTCGATGACTATAATCTTCAAACATTCAAGTGTAATGTCAATCGATATCTGATACCTTGATATTGTTCCTCGTCCTTCTCTTTATCCTCTCTCCAAACACGTTTTTTTTTACTCTTGTTCTCTACCCTCAGTAACCCTTTGCGTGCTAGTGGCACTCCCGCCTTGCTTGGGTTGAAATGCTTAAAAATGTATTTCTTGCCGCAGTTTTTTTTTTTTTTTATATAGTTTATACTATAAATTCCTGCCTCGGTTTCTAAGTTATTATTATTTTGTTTTACAGAAATTAAATCTCTTAGTTTTTTCTGAAGTACGTTGTAACAAATTTTATAATACGTTTTGATGACTTCTTTCAATTGTAGCCATTATATGCAGTATTGTTTGTCTGTTTGTGTGAAAATTATTTATATTATTTACTATTCTGTTTTTATGAATTCGGTGAGCTTTACGCCAAGCATTATATATGAAATAATTATGGTACTGACTAAGTATTTTCGATGTATTTATTTTTATCATGCAAATAGTGGGGCTACAAATTCATGCGGTTTTAAATATATTATTCCGGGTTTTATTTTGTTGCTATAGCTTGAATATAAATTCGTGAGTTCAATTTGATTGGTGGATCTTCTACTCAATAATATATAGAGTTTGCTTATTATATTCTCTCATTCGTCTTCTTCTATGTAACACGTAACTTCAGGGCATAGACGATCATGGCTCTCCACAAATTTTTATCTCTTCTGATCCTTACCCGCTCGTTCCCTTATGCTAAGGCTCCCGCGTTTTATCATCCATTCAGATAAATGTCTCGCTGCTTTCCCCTATATTTCTTGGCCTCAATGTAACTCATAAGGATTAAGTTTTCCAAACTCTCATTACTCTTTATATGTCGAACAAATTTTAAATCTCTTTTCCTGATTCTGTGTCCGCTATTATTCCCTTCGTATCCTTCTGGTGAGACAGTAGTGCCACACGGGCAGCTTCTTCCTGCGAAATATTGCTCCATGGAACCGACTCCCAAGAGGATGTTTTCCCAATCACTATAACAATAACCTGTACAAATCTAGGATTATTATCTTCCCTATATATGCGCACCAATTGAACATTTTACTATGTAACTCTCTGCCTTGAGTGACTCTCGGGCCTTGTAAAATGTAAAAACAGATGATGACTTCTATATTGCTTACTAACAACGCAGAGAAAGAAAGAAAGCAAGGGATAGAAAATAGATGAAGGAAAAAACTCCTTTGGAATTTTCAGCATCCTTTATGTAGAGCCACATCTCTGCTGCCTACGAAATTGTCCAGTATTCACTGCCATATAAAAGGAAAGATATCACATAGTAATCCAAGACTCTTTTCTTTATTTCTAATGAAATTAAAGACTTATATGTATTTACTAATCCCAGATTACATAAGTCTGGAGTTTTCTACCATGATAGATTTTTTGTGTCGACGAAGCTAGTTCATTCGTTAGTGTGCTTGTGTATACGTGTTAATATACGAATGTATATATATATATATTTGATAGTTGTATATTTAGGCAGCAATCCTTCCTTTATGCATGTTTCATTAAAAACGACAGACAAGGTACGACGGTTAAGCTTTTTATTTAATTTTTCTTGTGCTCTGACAAGAGCTTTCTTTTCTGTCCGAATGTTTTATATTTCCGAGCGCTTTCGGCTATACCTTTAGCCATTTAGCTATTATAAAAAATTTAAGACAGCCATCCTTATCCTCAAAAATAACAACACACCAACTAAGTCAAAATTACAAAGAACGAACATTATCTATGAGTTCAAATGCCCTTTAAGTAACTGACAACGTTAGGAACATACTAGTAGAAAACATAAATATATTAACTGCATCCACTTGCAAAAAAAGACTAAAAATAATGGAAGCTTTAATAATAAAAAAGAAAAAAGCAACTCTTAACAATATTAACTCCGAACAAAGCCACAATGTGCTAACCGTATTCGGAAATTAAAAACATCCCTACCAGACACTGATACATACACAGAACGCACACACTCAGTTAAGCTGAAAATCGAATCATCCTTGATAATGGCTAATGGTATAGCCGAAAGCCCTCGGAAATATAAAACATTCGGACAGTTTTTACACACCATTTGTCCAGAAAAGAAAGCTCTTGTTAGAACACAAAAAAAATTAAATAAAAAGCTTAACCGTAGTACCTTGTCTGTCGTTTTAATGAAACATGCATATATATATATATATATATATATATATATATATATATATATATATATATATATATATATATATATATATCTTTGGATATACATCTTTTCTTGAAGAATTTATTCTAAATTATTTTCAACAAAACTGGGTATCTTTTTGCCAAGAAACTCAAGAATCTTTGCGTACCCCCTCCCCTAGATTCCGCTTTCATTAGTTTCGGGCATTAATCCGTTGCTAAGATCGCAAATAACAAATTAAAACGTTCCAAACAAACAGAACGTCCTTTGTCCGCCATACTTTGCGAGCACTTAGCAAAATCAAACAAACACGACTGTTGATCGCCGATATTAATTCGTTTTCCTTTTGATCACGCCGTTCTCTTGCTAAAACTTCCGCTGGCTTTATTCAGTAAAAGCTGTTTCAATAACAAATCCTCTCTTCATTACAGATTACAGAAAATGGCGGCTGAGCCAAAACAAAACGTTTCATTGCTTCCAAGTTGTGAGGATTCTTTTGACGCCATTCCAGATGGAAGAATTGAAGGGATTTTTACAGATTGGCAGGATCTCTATAATTCCGAAAAAATTAATGTGCCTGACAAAAGAATGTAAGGATGAGAGATAAGAGATGATGGCCCGGGGGAGGCGGGCAAAGTGATGATAGGAACGTTATCTTGAAGTGCAACAAAAATATGTTGGCTTCCTGGTATTTGTATATTTTTCCAGCTCGTTTTTCATAATATGAAATGTAATGAGGTGATACAGAGTTGGAGGAAAAGAAAAAAAAAAGAAAGGCAGAAAAATCAGAAGAAATAAGGAATGGATGAACGAAAGAAGAATTGAAAGGAAAAAGAAAAAAAAGGAAAATATATATATATATATATATATATATATATATATATATATATATATAGACCTTGTAAAAGGGTAATCGAATAATAAAAATGAAAATAGATAAAATGGTTCCTAAGTAAAGACAAAACCAAGAAAAAAGCGAAAGAAATTTTAAAAATGCATAAATAGGTGTGTATCCGAAAAAATGAAAAATATCCTAAAACAATGTGAATCAGTGGCAGAAGGAAAAATTTATGAAGAATAAACAATGAATTAGAAGAGTGGATGAGAAAGGAGAGGGGAAGAAAAAAAGTTAGAAGAATAAAATAAAAGAAAGAGAGGAATGAGATAATAAGAAAGAAAGAAAGAAAGAAAGAAAGAAATAGGAAAGTAACAGAAAGAAAGAAAGAAAAAAAATAGGAGAGTAACAGAAAGAAAGAAAGAAAGAAAGAAAGAAAGAAAGAAAGAAAGAAAGAAAGAAAGAAATAGGACACTAAAAGAAAGAAAAGAAAGAAAGAAAAGACACTAAAAAGAAAGAAGGACAAAGAAAGAAAAGAAAGAAAGAAAGAAAGAAATAGGACACTAAAAGAAAGAAAGAAAGAAAGAAAGAAAGAAAGAAAGAAAGAAATAGGACACTAAAAGAAAGAAAGAAAGAAAGAAAGAAAGAAAGAAATAGGACACTAAAAGAAAGAAAGAAAGAAAGAAAGAAGGGAGTAACAGAAATAAATAAATAAATAAATAAAGAACTAATATAGGATAGTAACAGAAATAAAGAAGGAAAGAAAATAGGAGAGTAACGGAAATAAAGAAAGAAAGAAAAAAAAAGCCGCGTAACCGGAGTAAATAAGTAAAGAAAGAAAGAATATAAGAGAGTAACAGAAATAAAGAAAGAAAGAAAGAATATAAGAGAGTAACAGAAATAAAGAAAGAAAGAAAGAATATAAGAGAGTAACAGAAATAAAGAAAGAAAGAAAGAATATAAGAGAGTAACAGAAATAAAGAAAGAAAGAAAATAGGAGAGTAAAAAAAGAAAGAAAGAAAATAGAAGATTAACAGAAAGAAGTAAAGAAAGAAAATATGCGATAAAGAAAGAAAGAAAGGAGAGTAAAGAAAAAGAAAATAGGAAAGAAAGAAAGAAAGAAAATAGAAGAGTAAATGAATTAGAAAGAGAAAGAAAGAAAATGGCAAAAGTAAAATTAAAAATGAGAAAATATAAGAAAGAAATTAAAAAGTAAGAATTCGTTGCAAAGTGAAAGAACGAAAAAATAAAAAGAATATATTCGAAACAACGATAAAACTGAAAGAAAGGAAGCGATAATAATGCAAATTAATGTGAGATGGAAAGAAAGAACGACAGAAAGAAAGAAAGTATGAGCACAGAATGCAACACTGCATAGTGCTTGGCAGTTTCACGCTTTATGAAATCAACACACTATAAGTTATACTGCTTTATGTAGGCTTTATATATTTGTTACTGTGTGGATTATAGGAAGTGCCGGGAATGCGGAAATGGTTTTCCTGGGTATTTATTTAAATCTAATAAATAAGAAAGAAAGAATAAATTTTAAAAAAAAGATATTAGAAAGAATGAAAGATTAGTATTCGAAAAAAGAGAAAATTAAAAGAAAGAAAAAATAAGAAAACTCCTTAAAAAGTAGAATGGAATAAAAGAAAGAAAGAATGAAAGAAAGAAAGGAAGGGACTATAGTGAAATTAAAAGTTAAATTAAAAATTAAAAATCTTTCTTCTCTCTCTCTCTCTCTCTCTCTCTCTCTCTCTAAACTCATCCTTCTCTACTTCTCTCTCAAATAACGAAAAGGCAACCCTCATATAAAAAGAAAAAGAAGAAAAGACTGAATCTTGCCAAAAAACAGCGGAAATTTGAAGGTCAGGGCCCAATTATTTGTGACTAAAAGCTCCAAAAACCAGGAGGCTCCACGCATAACTTCCGTTATAACATAAAGAAAAAGAAAGGAATAACGCAAAATAAAATAATTTGCGCCAATCAAAAAAAATGAACACAAAGAGATTTTTTATGTTAGCTGAAACCAAAGTTCCCGCAGGAATCTTGTAGTCTGGTCAAAAGGATATAAAATGATAACCTCTGAGCTAGAAGGAGGTCGGAAGAAGATACTAACAACATATATCCACCCCGATGTGATGGCACTCCTCCACAGAGGCAACCATAATCACTTCTGAATGATGCCAACCAAAATCGATTATGAAAGAAGTATCTTGTAGTAACATACAAAATTAAAAGAACGCAGAAGTATCTGTTAATTTCTACTAAAAAGTTAACTAAACCAACTGCCATCCATAAATATCGTAGTAATTGCACCATATGCCACAATTCACCTCAGCCTTTCATTATATTCACTTCATTAAAGTAAGCCTTAAAATCCATCAAGCCAAAATGAAATTTCAAAATGGAAACTAGCCAGATGCCTAGCTTCAACCTGTTCCAGATAAACAGTCGAACTCTCTGCCTTCGGGTAGACAGGTAACCGGACGAGGCTCCGCCGAAGGGCAGAGTCTCGTTCGGGGAGGTGGACTGCCCCTGAACCCGTTTATACGGGTTCGAAAGGGAATATTTTTGGCCGAGCCTACGGGTTCGGAGAACCCGCGTTAAACCGGCCTTGTGCCACAAACAACCCTCGTGAAGGGGGGGTAGCTAAATATACTAGCCAGATGCAGCGCACAGGAAATCCTCCTTGTCAGACTCAGGAAATACAGGGTTGGGAAGCTCACCACAGAGCCTAGTTCTTTCAAGCAGAGACACAAATGTCCCCCGAATTACTAGCTGAGACATTTCGGGAAAAGATCAAAGGGCTTGCGGCCGTCGACAAAAAATCTTGGCACGACTTCGACTCAGACATCAGCGAGATATTGAAGTTAATTTCAAAGGGCTCGGTAGATATACGTTTAAGAACTATGTCGAAAATCATAATCAGCTACGCTTCAGAGCGCTTCGGATACAGAGGAAAAGAAAACAAGAGGAAAAACTGTAGAAAATCTAAAGGAAAATAAAATCAAACAATGCAGAGTTAAAAGCCACCCGAAAAGCAATACAAGAAAGCAAAACCGGAAGAAAAGAGACCGTTGCAAGAGATCAGTGACTCCATCCTTTTCAAACTGAGGTCTTTACGGAGAGCAAAATGTCACAGGAATAGAAGGAAGGAAAGGGCGCGTAAACGATTCGTTTTTGTCTCCAATCCATACGTTTTCACTAAAAAAAATTATTAGGCGATAAACGTAGTGGAGCGCAAACATCGACCTCAGACGAAATGAATAACTTCCTTAAAGAGACATTGAATGACCCAAATAGGCAAATACAGTTGGGTGCAAACTCATCTCTAACCACACCTAACCTGCCTGCATATCCTTTTGACTTAAAAGAACCAACATGGAAAAAAAATCAGATAATATTAAAAACAGCCAGATCGGGATCAGCCCCGGGACCTAACGGAGTCCCTTACACTGTTTATAAACATTGCTCAATGCTGCTCCGTATGCTATGGAGATTATTAAAAGTTGTCTGGAGAAGAGGGAAGATAGCTATGCAATGGAGGTGCTCAGAAGGCATATGGATCCCTAAAGAGGAAGGAGCAAGTACAGTAAATCAATTTAGGTACATCTCCCTATTGAACTTTGAAGGGAAAATATTTTTAGTATTTTAAACCGACGTTTAACAGATTTCCTCTTAAATAATAAGACACCTCTGTTCAAAAAGGAGGTGCCCCAGGCATACTGGGGTGCATGGAACACACAGGCGTCATTACGCAGCTGCCAAAAGGCGTAAAAGCACATAAGGGTGACATGGCTTTCCTGTGGCTGGACCTTAAGTCCTTAATGGCTCAATCCAACATAAGTTGGTAGAAGAATCCTTAAAACGTCATCACGTTCCCGCCAAAATTATAGAGACCATAGTGGACTGTTATAATAATTTCAAAATAAAAACAACAGCAGGAAACACAACATCTGCATGGCATAGATTGGAAAGAGGCTTTATAACTGATGCAGCATCTCAGCTACCCTTTTTTCCTTAGCTATGAATATGCTCATAAAAGCTGTGGAAATAGAATGCAGAGGTCCTTTAACAAGATCTGGTCAATGGCAACATCTAATAAGAAAATACATGCGCGATATGACCAAAATATGCTCGTCTGTGATAGGCGCGAGGTAGCTACTAAAAGGTTTAGAGAAACTAATTTTATGGGCGAGGATGAATTTCAACGTTGCCAAATCAAGGTCACTTGTGTTAAAAAAAGGAAAAAACATCAGAGAGTGATCGTTTTAAATTGTTCGGCGAATTTATCCCGACTATAAAGCAAAACCCTATCAAGAACTTGGGTAAGCGTTTTGACAATACCCTGAAGGACTCTGTCGCAATCCAGGAAACAAAGGACATCTTAGAAATATGGTTAGATAAAGTAGACAAGTCTGGCTTACCTGGTCGATATAAGGCATGGATTTATTAGCATGTTATTCTTCCCAAGATATTTTGGCTGTTATCCATCTACGATTTCACTACTTCTTCCGTAGAACAGATAGAAAAAAAAAGATTAACGCTCGTTTACGAAGATGGTTAGGTCTACCAAAGTATCTCAACAGCGCTGCCCTTTACAGTAATTCCAATATTCTTTAACTCCCATTTAAAAGCCTTGTAGAAGAATACAAAGTCGCTAAAGTGCGAACGGTAATACAATATAAGTTCTCCAAGGATCAAAAAGTGGCAAGAGCAAATATTGAAGTCTACACTGGGAGGAAATGGAATGTGGTAAAGGAGTTGAAATTGGCAGAAGAGCGTCTTCACGAAAAAGTAGTACTGGGTACTGTTGCCACTGGACGTGTAGGGCTTGGTTTTTTTCCCCACAGTTAGAATTGACAAAGCAGTAGGCAAAGAAAAACAGACTCTTACTGGACGAAATTAGCGCAGGGGAAGAGGAAATGAGAGTAACAAAGATGATTTGGTTAAAACAACAAGAAGGGTGGACAAAATGGGAAGCAATGATTCAGAAGAAAGTTAGATGGTCTGAACTATGGCGTAACGAAATAGGCATGAACTTTCTAATCTGAGCAGTTTACGACCTTCTCCCAAGCCCAGTTGACCTAAGACTATGGAATAAATCAGAATCGACCTTATGCCTCTTATGCGGTCAATTAGGGTCATTAAAACACATACTTAGGTACCTGCAAATCAGTGCTGGCTGATGGTAGGTACAGATGACGCCATAATCAGATATTAAAAGACATAGCAGAAGTCGTTAATACAGCTATCCGTACAAACACATTTAATTCAAACAGGAATGTTATAAATTTTATTAAAGCCGGCGTTAAAACCTAACCCAAAGAAAATGATTGCACCCAATTGTCTATCGTGTGCAACAGACTGGGATCTTAGAGTAGATATAGGCAAAAGATTAAACTTCCCGGATCACATCTTCAAGACCCTATTGCGTCCAGACTTAGTTCTCTTTTCAAATAAGTTAAAGAAAATCATTGTGGGAATTAACAGTCTTTTATGAACGGAAAAAAACTAAGATACGACGAATTACTGGAAAATTGTAGGAGCAATGGATGGAAGGCAAGCTGTAAGTAAACTGAAGTAGACACAAGGGGTTTTGTAGCAAAATCACTAGTCAACGCCCTAACAGATATTGGGATAGTGGGAACAAAAAGACGAAAGGTTATCCAAACTATTACTGAGACAGCAGAAAAAAAAAACTAAATGGTTATGGCTAAAACGAGCCTATGCATGTACAATCAATCAAGGAAAAAAAGTCCAAGTTTAAGATAGATGGAAACAACGTGTTTTTTGTTTTTGTAAATTATTTTACGCAGTGTAGTTTTATAAATCTTTAATTGCATATTATTTTAATGTAAATAGTATAAAGATATGTCACTGCTTATAACTAATTATAAACGCAGTATTTGGTGTGTAAATATGTATAGTCAGAAATAGTTGTTTTTTTTGTTTTTGTTTTTTTTCTACATCACCCAATTTTAACTTGTTTATCTAACAAATCTATTTTATCTTTAGTCATTATCATTTTTTTATTTTTTTATTATTTTTTTTTCTTATTTGTTGCTTAAATGTTGGTTGGGGTATATTCCCTATACATGTGATTTCGATATTTTAGCATCTAGAATAAAGGCACGATATCGTAAAGTTCAAAAGGGGTTAATTTTTTTTTAAATCTTTTCGATAATTTTCTCCCGATTTTCGTTCTTTATTACTAAACAGAAATCTTTTGACTTCCATTTTATCTCTTTTTTCCTTTTCTGTCACCATGAGACTATATGTGAAATAATAATTATTTGTAACTAATTCTTTTTAAACGATTTACTTACCAACATTTTTCACCCCTCTTTCCGCCTTTTGTTTCTCGATCAAAATCGTAAATTTAATTTTATTTGTTAATCTCACACGTTTTACCACGTTTAATCGACAGATTTAATCGAATCTTCTAAGTTTACTCGTTTAACTTGTTTTAAACGACATTTATTTATATATTTATTTTCGTTTTAACACGCTGCATATGTCGTAATTTATTCATTTTAATCTTAAAAACAATGTAAATTTCTAATTATTTTAAAGTTGCATCCTTTTTTATTTCTTATTTTATTGTTTTTTTTTTCTTTACTAACAGTAATTATCAGCTGGGGAGATGAAACTTTAAAAAAAAAACGAAAAACAGATAACTTACCTTCCGAGTATCCGATGAGTATCCACATAAAAAAGTAAAAAGTAAAAACTCCTCCGTAAACAACTTAAATAGAGCTCACATCATTGCGATTGGCTGTTGGTCAACTTCCAATCAAATGCGTGACAGAGGGCTAGGGTTTGCCGAATATAAGTCAGTGTCTGCAGGCTGTTAATTTAGCATGGGGAGCACATCAGAGCCTGATCATCTCTCATGGGGTCGACTTGGTGGGGGCAGTATGATGTTTGAAAGACCCGAATCTACCCAATGACCCAATTCAGAACATCACTGACGACGCCCCCTAGCGCTAAAGAGTGTATATTCAAAACATCCGTTTATCTCGTAAAATAAAGGTAACGTCTTGTTTGGTCAAAATTCCGTCCTATGGTGAAGAAACTGAGGTTATCTCTTCTGAGCGATAGTATATATAGACAGTATGCTGCTCAGACTACATGAACCCTACTCCCCGCCGTACCGACAAGATCAAAAGGAATACAGGGTATTACATTTGGGAACCGCTCGACTGCAGGAGTTGCCGAAAAT